AGGCGAGGAGAAGAAGAGCGGACGGAGGAGCTGCGCGCCGAGACCGAGAAGCTGTTGCTGGAGGCCCGCAGCGCCGAGGAGGAGCGGAAGAAGGCCCTCGCCGAGAAGGTGAAGAGTGAGAAGGAGGAAAGCTTCAAGTGGGCGGAGCAGGAGCGGGAGCGGAGGGCGAAGGAGGCCGAGGAGGCGAAGCGGCAGGTGGAGGAGGAGCTGCAGGCCCGACTGAAGGAGCGCGAGGAGGAGGAGCGCCGGCGGGCCGAGTTTGTCAAGCAGAGCCGCGAGGCGTCAAGGGCGCGCAGGGAGGAAGCGATGAGGAATTTGATGGAAGAGCGTCGACGGGCGGCGGCTGAGTTGTGGGAATAGATGTATATGTTTTTTTTTTCTCTTTTTAAGTGTTTCTTGAAAGCGATGTTTTTTTTTCCCGTTTTTTGCTTCTTCTTTTTTGTTTTGGTGTGGGTGGGAGGGGGATGTTTATGATGTTGGTGGGTTTAACGAAGTTCCTGCGTGACTGCGATGCTGACGTGTCGTGCATGTATATTTGTCTGCGAGGGAGTGATGGCCACGCGGCCTTTCCGTTTGTAGGCTCCGCTGTACAGTTTTTTTTTTTCTTGCAGCGTGGCCATGGTGGTTACTTGCGGGGGTGTCTGAACCGGTTGCTGAGTTGCACGTAGCTGATATTTGTGGTTTATTTCTCCTTTTTACATCTTGTGTTTTCGATTTTGTTCTTCTTGTTTCTCTCCGCGTGTTTTTGCCGAGTGCGACGTTGCTTGCTCCTCGCGGCTTGTGTGTCGCTCTCTCTGCGTCGCTCTGTGTGCGTGCGTGTCGCGCCCCCCCCCCCCCCCACTTTCTCCTCCCCCCTTTTCCTGCTGCCCCCCCCCCCCCTCTCCGCGTGCCTGGTAGGAGAAGCCAGTTTCGGTTTTTTTTGGATGTCTGCGGGCGCGGCGAGGCCGACTGTGCCTCTGTTCGTCTACGGCACGCTGCAGCGCGGGGAGAACAACTACGCGTGGTGGCTGGCGGACCCCGACCACGCCACCTTCGTCGCGACGGCGCGGACGCGGCGGCGGTACCCGCTGTTCGTCAACCTGTTGCCGGACGGCGACGGGTGCTCGCCCTGCCTGCTCGACCTTCCCGCGGAGGGCGACGGCGCCGCCAGCGACGACTCCGGCGCGACCCCGCCGCAGTTTGTGGTGGGGGAGTTGTTTCTCGTGACGCCGGCGCTGAAGCGCTGCCTGGACGTGCTTGAGGGCGTCGCCGACGGCGTGTACGCCCCCGGCGAGATCGACGTGGTGCCGCTGGACAACGCGCAGGCGGCCGCAGCGGTACTGCACGCCTGCGGCGGGGAGGCGGCGAAGGCGCTCGTGTACTTCCGTAAGAGGAACTACCCGCCCGACTGGAACAGTCCCACTCCGGCCAGCAGCAGCAGGCTCATGCGACGGTTTTCCGCGGCGGCGTGCCTGCGTCTGTACGGCTCACGCTTTGCCGGTTTTCCCGCCCACCTGCGCTTCGCGGCAGAAATGCGAGACGGTCTTCAAAAGGTGGCTGGGTGCCCCTTCGACGTGGCCTGTGGGGTGCCGCTGCGTCCCGCGCCCGTTGTGCTCTTCATCATCGACGGCGTGGGCGACGCCACGTACGCCGAGCTCGGGCACCGCACACCGCTGGAGGTGGTGGCCGGGGTCCCCCCGCGGAGGCTCGCGGGGGGAGCGCCGGCGCCCCCGCCCCGCGTCACGGAGCAGTACGCCTCCCCCGGCATTAACGTGGTCGCTAGGCACGGGGTGAGCGGGCTGATGGACGTCGTCGAGGCGGGCGTCAGTTGCGGCAGCGACACCGCCCACCTCGCCCTCTTCGGGCACCCGCCGACGCAGTACTATAGGGGACGCGGCGCTTACGAGGCTCTCGGGGCGGGCATGGCCCTGGAGGACACCGATGTAGCCTTCAAGAGCAACTTCGCCGTCCTCGACGTGCGCACCGGGGTTGTCACGCACCGCCGCTGCGACCGCGACTTCACGCTGGAGGGTCCCGTGCTATGCGAGTACCTCGACGGGACTCTGATCGCAGGCGATGACGCGGGCCCATTCAAGACGGCACACGCGTTGAAGGTGGAGTACGCCACGGAGCACCGCTGCGGCGTCGCCATCACCGGGGAGGGGCTCTCGCACCGCATCACGGGCACCGACCCCCTGGCAGACGGTCGCCCACTGCTGGAGTGCAAGCCCACGGTGCCGCCGGACCACGCGGAGTACGAGGCCGCCGCCTACACGAGTCGCGTGGTGAACGCGGCATCGCGGCGCATTATGGAGCTGCTTCGCCACCACCCGATCAATGAGGCCCGGCGGAGGGAAGGGAAGAGGATCGCCAACGTGCTGCTACTGCGGGGGGCTGCAAGCAAGGGATGGGTGCCGCCGTTTGCCGTGCGTCACGGTCTTGTTGGCTTTATTGTTGCCCCCACCTGCATCATCAAAGGCCTCGGCATCTGCTGCGGCCTGAAGTCGGTGGACGCGGAGGGGGCAACTGGCGATTACCGCACGGACGTCAACGCCAAGGTGGAAGCGGCACTGCGGGAACTCGGGCTTCTGGACGCCGTGGACGGGGCCGCAAGGGAGGAGGGGGCGGCCCGCAGCATGTTTGCCGTCATTCACGTCAAGGGCGTCGACGACGCCGGCCACGACAAGAGCCTTGAGAAGAAGCTCATGATGCTGCAGCGATGCGGCGCGGCCCTCCAGCGGCTGTGGGTTGCCCTGCCGGACGGCGGCACTGTGGCGGTGCTCGCGGATCATTCCACGCCCGTTTCGATTGGCGACCACAGCTGTGAGCCTGTTCCCGTGTCCGTGGCGACGAAGGGGGCCCATTTCCGTGATGGCGTGGAGCACTACAGCGAGGTGGAGAGCAGCCGTGGGGCACTGGGGCGCTTTCGAGGTGAGGAGCTGCTGGGCGTGGTGAAGCGCGCCCATTACTGGTACCACTACCTCCCACCGCTCGGGCACCGTAACTTTGGGGACAACTAACGCTGACGCGATGCGGCGATGAGGAGCATCGTGTCCACGCGGAGCGGCGGCGTTTCTTTTTTCTTGTTCGATGTTTTTTTTTTTTTGCGTGAGTGTGTGCTGCATGGCATCGTTGCACCCCTGCGTGCGTGCTGCTTGGGCGATGGTGTGCTTGCCTCCGCCGCGCGCTCTCTTTTCCTCGCTTCTCTCGCTGCCCCGGGGGCCAAAGGTGTAGAGCAGCACGCGCTCGGGCAATCAAAAAGGGGCTGGCGCAACCCACGACACGTCACGAAGACCGGGGCGTGTGGAGGCCCGGGATAATCGCAATACGAGTCTTCCCGCGCCCTCGCCGTCACGCTGGCGACGCAGCGCGGGAGAAGCGTCAGTGAGGCAACCAACACCAAAGCAGAGAAAGCAAGGGAGAAACGAAGAAGAAGAAATAGAGAAAGGACAAAAGTTGAACAAACAAAAAGAGTAAAACAAAAGTAAATCAAACCAGGCAAAAGGGCAGAGGGAGTGCGTCAGTTAAGTGCCGGGGCAGGGGCCACAGGGGGGCGTGTTCACCCCAGCTTACACCAGCAGCTGCTTCATTTGTTTCGT